CCACTGGAGAGAAGACTGGCCCACTGGAGAGAAGACTGGTCCACTGAAGAGCAGACTGGTCTATAGGAGAGAAGACTCATCTACTGGAGAAGACTGGTCCACTGGAGAGAAGACTGGTCCACTGAAGAGCAGACTGGTCTACCGGAGAAGAAGACTGGTATACAGGAGAAGACTAGTCCACTGGAGGAGAAGACTAATCTACTGAAAAAAGGATAATGACTGTTAGGAGGCCACCAGCAATTCCTACCACAGAAATTAGTAAATATCTTGTCTTCACTTAGACTTTGTCTTCTAAAGACCCTCCCAGAGAGGCCTTCCTTAGCCAAATTTTGCTAAACAGCTGCCCTACCCCAATTAATCTCTGCTCTATTACCATATGTTGTCCGTTTTTATATCATTCATTGGTACCTGAAAGAATCAATTAGTTTGTTTAGCATGCCTACTGTCTTCCCCTCAGACCAACACATCAGCTCCTAGAAGGGCAGGGTTGTGTCCATTCTGTGTACCCTTATTGACCTACCATTAGAATCGTGCCTGATGTACACTAACCATCAATGTCATTGTTGGTAAACTGGCTGGCGGAAACTTTCCTATGGACGAGGATAAAGAAATCACTGCATTTTCTCTTTCACAGTCTGGGTCATGGCTGTCATTTAGCAAGTATTCCTGTTAGCCTGTTTATCTTTTTAAGAGATAAGCTGGGAGAGAAATGGGTCACTGGGGGATTAGAGTATTATAAGTGATCAAATGAATGCATACTACTTCTAAATAGCGATTTCCTTGTTCATCAACCATAACATCAGATTAGTCTGAAATTCTTCTCAGATCCTCAACGCTGTCTCTAGTGTGGCGCATGAGCTTCCAGTGCCAACTTGTAGGGTAGCAGGTGCAGCCACCAGAGCAAGGCACCAGGAATCAGCAGCCTTCGTTGAAAACTTGGCCTCCACGGTCACAGGAATTCTAGGGCTTCCGGGATGGTTGTGGATTTCTTTGGGCCTCACTTTCCCCCCACTGTAGCAGAGCAATAAGGTAAAAATGCAAGCAGTATGACAAGCATAAAGCATGAACTATATTGTTTTACAAATGAAATACGAACCCATCCTGCATTTGATTGAGAGTTGCTTAAAAGGAAAGTGAAGCTTGGTACTTCCTAAGCAAAGGAGAAGGAGAGGTCCCATTTGCTAAACTCGTGTCGTTTTCCACAATCTGTGATTTATTTTTATTATTAATGTGAATCAGTAACATTTGAAAAGAATTAATTAGCATAGATAGTCATTCTAATAGGGACAGTTGGCTCCCTGGTAGAGTATAAATTGATTTTAAAGAAGGAAAAGTGATCACAAATGGATTTGATTTGCAGGTTTTCCCCTCTTTGCCAAAAAACCTTGCATTTTTGTGGCCAAACTATTAAAATAAGCTTTAGTTTGTCAGTCCTCCAAGTGTATAGAAATTTGGGTTTACATTCTACAGATAATTTACTAGCAAAAGCATGTCACTAAAGATGTGAAATCATGTATTCATTCACTTCAGTAAATATTGATTGACCATGTGCTGAAAATAACAAGAGGGAAAAAAAAAACAACAAACCCAAACATAAAAAGTTCTATATATTATCAGGCAGAGGTCAAAATTTGGTCCAGACTTCTGGCTTTGTATATAATGTGCCACAACGACTCAGTTCTGTCCCTGTAAAAACCACTCTAAATCCCTGCCGTCAAGGTGACTTCCAGCTCAGCGACCTGATGCGACAAGTAGAAGCGCCCGTAAGCTTCCCATCTTCTTGGAAGCCGCCTGCAGCATCTTTGTCCTGCAAGGCAGCTGGTGCATCAGAACCGCTGGGCTTTTGGTTGGCAGCTGAACCATGCGTGCCTCCAAGGAAGACAGGCAATACAGAAATGAATGGGCGTGGCTGTTTCAAATCAAACTTTCATTATGGACACAGGAATTTGAGCTTCATATAATTTTCACATGTCACAAAATATTTGTTTTCTACTTAAAGAAGTAAATAAATAAAGTGGGCTGGTATTTACTGCAGAGCTTGCCAACCCCTGTTTTACAAGATATAATCGCACCCCTTTAGCATTGAAAAGCAAATCCTTGAGAGCGAAAAGAAACAGAAGCAGCGTTGGGTGAAACCTTGGAGAATTCTCTTCCATCATTCCACTTGCCAATTAAAAACATCTAAGCATATCTAACGATTCTTTGTTATAAAATGTTTTCTGTGGCTTGAGCCTGCTGTGAAAAGCAGTGATCTGTTGGTTGCTGGTACTTTGCTATTATTACCACCCATTGATGCTGCTTGAAAGGAGTGTTGGATTAGATTGTAGATTTGAAAATTATGTTTTCTTTCCTTTTTTTTTTTGTCTTTTGTAAGTCTCATTTTGTGTCAGCTCTCACCGTGGTTTTTGTCAACTCCAAATCGCTATCCTCCATCAAAATTGAAGACACGCCAGTGGATGACCCTTCCTTAAAGATTCTCGTGGCCAATAACAGTGACACTCTCAGACTCCTGAAGATGAGCAGTTGTCCTCATGTTTCATCCGATGGTAAGTCTGAACTTGGGAAGGCTGAATTAGTATTACTTTTTATTTACAGTAAATAGTAACAATTTAGTTTCTTGTTGAAAATCGCTGTGTTAGTCTGGGTAGACTAGAGAAACAAATTCACAAACATGCATATGTATATAAGGGAGAGGTTTATATACAAGAGCAATTGAACATTGAGGAAATATCCCAGCCCAGTGCAGATCAAGTCCTTAAGTCTGATATTAACCCATGTTTCTGATATCAATCTATAAAGTCCTCTTCAGACTCACGAAACACATGCAATGATGCTGAATGCAGAAGGGCACAGGCCAGTGGGTAGAAAGTCTTTGCATCCAGTGTCATTGGAAACATAGCGCTGGCAGGGGTCTCTCTGTGGCTTCTCTGGCTTCCAGGGTCTGGTTGTGTCCATGTGGCTTGTCTTCTGCAATGTCTCCCAGGGAGTGGTATAGACAGAGAGGTGTCTTCCACCTCCAAGAAGGAAGTACCAGATTTCCCAGAATTCTCAGGAGAAGGCCATGCCCACCCAGAAGTCTCATTGGCTATATGATCTGACTGACAAGCTAGACTCCACCCCCACACTCTTAATCCTTAAATTGACCCCAGATTAGGTGACTGACCCAATCGCATACTTTTTTTTTTTTCCAATCGCATACTTAAGAAACATAGTTTATGAAATCATTTCCCATAGGCAGTCTTAAAAACAAGACAGTTTGGATGGCTTGTCATGAACGTGTTTTAATGGCATGAAGGGGTTTCAAAGAGTTCATGAGAAAACGGAATGAAAAGATACGGAATTTTCTCATGAACTTTTCAAAGCCCTCCTCATAAAAAATAATGGAATCTTCCCTGTGAACTTTCTAAAGCCCCCTCTTACAGACATACATACGCCTCGTCTATCTCCTCAGAAACTGTTAGATGTCTCTTTCAGCAGATAATACCACATGTAAATGTATGAGATTTCATAGTTTTCGTCGGAATGAATCTCCAGTCTTACGAATTCCCCACCCCCACCCATGCTTCCCCCAGGCATCCTCTGTGTAGCTGATCACTGTCAAGACCTCAGAGAACTAGCCTTGAATTATTACATCCTCAGCGATGAACTTCTCCTGGCGCTGTCCAGCGAGACTCACGTTACCCTGGAGCATCTGCGCGTGGACGTTGTGAGTGAAGACCCCGGTCAGCTCCCCTTTCACACGATTAAGAAACAAAGCTGGGACGCGCTCACCAAGCACTCCCCTGGGGTCCATGTCGTGATGTACTTCTTCCTGTACGAGGGGCAGTACGAGACCTTCTTCCGAGAAGAAATCCCGGTCACTCACCTTTACTTCTGTTGCTCCGTCAGCAAAGCCGTTCTGGGACGCATCGGGCTTCACTGCCCACGACTAATTGAATTAGTGGTCTGTGCGAATGGCGTCCAGCCTCTTGATAATGAACTTATTTGTATTGCCGAACGCTGTAAGAACCTAGCAGCCGTGGGCCTCAGTGAATGTGAACTGAGCTGCGGTGCGCTGGTTGAATTTGTCCGACTCTGTGGGCCAAGGCTGACCCAGCTCTCTGTCATGGAAGACGTTTTGATCCCCGATGACGATGGCTATAGCCTGGATGACGTGGCCACCGAAGTCTCTAAGTATCTTGGGAGAACGTGGTTCCCTGATGTGATGCCTCTCTGGTAATTTGCAACCAAAGATTCTTCCCTTATCATTATTATTATTAACCAAGATGAATCTGTTCCTTCTTGTCTATGCAAATGTGAATGTTAGATGCGTTGTCGAAATGTTTTTGGTCAATATTTTATAGTCTGCAAACTGTCATCATAGCTCGCTACAGAAACATTTTGGGGGACAAAACGATGAGGAATTTGAAAGGCTACAAGCCTCCCTGAATAGGGAGACGCCGTGTGTAGATTACAGAATTGATGGGCTACAAACTGCAAGTGGATTCTGGGGGAGCCCTGGACTCCCGGAAGGCGTTTACTTTCTCTTGCTTACATAAGATTTCTAATACTGAGCATCCTGTTATATCATTTATTTTATCCCTTTAGACTATCTTAAGGCTGCTATTTCATCTTGGTATGAGTATATTTTATAAAATATGCAGTATGAAAACCCAAGCAAAACCCAAATAGAGATACAGAAGCTAGTCTTAATATATTTACCAAGTGCTTAGCACTAAAGAGGACTGTCTTGTGTGTTAATAAACAACTTCTAATTTCTAATGTACTTTGAGTGCTGCTTCATTGTATTAAGGGTGGAACATGGGCACTCAGCTAAAATGAAATAATAATTGATTTTGTAAAGGTACACACCCTGGTTATGAATTAATTCACTGCATGATCTAGATAAAACGATGACTTGTGCAGGGAAGTCAGCATTCACTGACCTACTACTGTGTATCAAGAATAGTATCAGATCCTTTGCACAAGTGATCCCCTGATTTTCTCAGGGACAGTTATCACTCTTCGGTAGCTACCTCTAAGAAGGAAGATATGCATAGTCGTTAAAGGCCTGCAGAGCCCTTCAAGACCCTGTTTTCTGAGCATCTTCCAGTCACGGGGCATCGGTGTGCATGTTGTTCTCTATGCTTAAAATACTTGCTTTGTTCTCTCTGATCCCTTCTCAAGCTGCCACTTCCTGTAGACAAGCCTGCTGTGATGTGTGGCCCATTTCCCCTCTCATAAGGCAGTTCTCCATTACATAGGCTGCCTCTATCAGCACTCCATGACTTTTCTTTGTGGCACTTAGTGTCACTGTAATGTGCCAGTGCCAGTGTACCTATATGATGAGTATCGGCTTAGTCTGTCACACTGTAAGCACCATCATGCAAGATCGTGGTTACCACATCAAAGGGATGATTAACATGGAAATATACATGTAAGAATTGTTAAATGATAAATGTTGTGTGTATATGTATATATATTTGTTGCAATTAAACATTAAACAAAGTGACAGTTGAAAATCAAAATGCTGCTTGCTTTCTTGCACTCATATTTTTTAATCGAATACCAACTTCTTGAAAATCAGCACATGAATCCAAGTCACTGAGAAGATAACTTTGTCGTTGGATGACCTGGCCTTCACCTTCATTCACAGGTACGAGGTAGGGTCAGTGCCATCGCAGTTCTCCACATGCACGTGAGATTGTATGCCAGGGTACACCTTCTGCAAGGGCAGGAGTGTGCCCAGCCGCTCTCCCTTCTTGATAGCGCCTTTATACTTAATGGGCTTAATGTAGAACATTTTGATACAGAAACCTAAAGAAAAAAAGAAAACATTTTCATTATCTGGACTTTCATTATCAGTAGCCTCAAACCATGAATAAAAAAACTAAGAATAGAAATTGCAAAAAAAAAAGGAGAGAAAGAGAGAGAGTTGATGGTGCCCGGCTGTCAAAAAGTATAGTGTCTGGGGTCTTAAAGGCTTGAAGGTAATCAAGCGGCCATCAAGCTCAGAAGCAACAAAGCCCACATGG